ACGGCGAAGACGGCGAAGACGGCGAAGACGGCGGCCAATCGCTGCACGCCTGGGGCGGCGAATCGGAAAGCTGGGAAGCCTGTGGCTGATGATGAGCTGAAGCGAGCTTTGGGATGCCCGAAGTGCCGGCACTCCCAGAAGGGGTGCTCAAACTGTAAAAATCCCAGTTACAAGCCCCGAAAGCCTAAGCCTGGGGTTTGATTGGGAAGTGTGCTTGCATGCCTATTACAAGTATAGCTTCGCTTCGGGGTTATAAAAGGCTTCAACTACAAAGGTTGCCATGTGCTCTGTAGGTTGTTGTCACAGCCAAGCACAGATCTCGATCCGGGGAAGCATCGGCCAGGAGTTTCGAGTGCAGTCTAGAAAAGCCTTCCAAATTCGAAAGATCGAAAAAACCTCCTGGTTTGGTGCCAAATTGGCTGAGCTCGCCACTGTGGCTGGCGGCCGCAGCACGAAGAGCTGCCGTTGTGCAGTCGATCCGAAGCTTTCCTCATGCGAATGTGCCGAGGAGTATAGATAGGCCCATGCATCCAGGGTCGAATGAATACTTTCACTTGATAGTCACTTGATGGCTCTTGTGTGTTTGTCTGCACTCTGCACACTGCAATGAGCACACCAATAGATCAATCTAGCGACCCCGTGTGAACCCTGAACCGTATAAGCCCTAAACTCCCAACCCTAAGCCTTTAAGCCAACCCTAAGCCTTTAAGCCAACCCTAAGCCTTTAAGCCAAGGCCCCAAACCCTCCAGTAAATCATCAGGACTCCTGGCAGAACGGTGCATCTCGCATTCTTGAGCTCCACGTTTTCTAGGGGTATGCCGTCTGTGGCAGCTGCAAAGTGCGATCACAGTGCAGTCTCGCTGCAAAAGAAAGATCCTCGCAAGCCTTCGGTGCATCCTGTGAACAGCACTTGTGCTCTCTAGAGCTAGCTGTGGCTTCCTCGTTGCAGGCTGGACAACATGGTGAAGATGTTGAAGGGCATCCCGAAACGTGCCCCACCGCCCCTGTGTCTGAAGGGTTTGTCCAGGGTTCGGGTCGTGTTTTATAGGTTCGGGTTTAAACTTATTTTGGGGTTTTATAGGGTTGGGTTTGGGGGTTAGGGCTCGGTTTACTTGGGTGGTTTAGGGTTTGGCTTAGGCCGTTTATAGAGGGTTCGGGCTTATCTTAGGTTCGGGCTTATCTTAGGTTCGGGCTTATCGTAGTTAATTATAAGTATATATTATAGAGTTCATCATAGGATTTAGGGTTCGTGGGGCTTACAGAACACTGAGTCAGTGAGACCAGTTTGCATGCATCGGCTATGTGCTGTCGTGATCTGCTGTGTGCTGTCTTACTCTGTGCGAATGCAGCTTCTGTGCTCCGAGTGCCCAGCCCAGCCTCGAACGCCATGTTGCCCGAAGCACGGCGACAGATTATCATGAAGATCCTGCGAGATGCAGGGGCACCGACCGTTTCTAGGTTGCAGATATGGGGTTGTAGGCTTCTGAATGCATTGGAAGCATGGGGAATCTTTGATGCTGCTTTGCTTCAGATACTTCTGGTGGTCTTGGCGATCGTCTGCAACATGCCACTTGATTTCAAGGAGGTGGGGCTTGCCAGCTAGACATGCTTGTGCTCGGGAGTGTTTGCCTTCTACAGCAGTCTGGTGCAGGAGTACGAGGCTGTGGAGTTCTCCAACGATGATCCAGTGGTCAGCAAAGCCCTGAAGAAACAACGTGTTTCGGCGGTCAGGGTTGTTTGGGGGGCTGAACCCACGGATTTCATGTCTCCTGGCTTGCACTAGCTGCGAATTATTTTGTTGCTGTCGTGGGA